AGCTCCGCGTTGCCTTAAAAGGAGACGGAGCCGTCCCGGGGCTGGGACTTCTGTGAGCTCCTCGGCAGAGCGGAGCCGGGCCGCAGCCTCCTTATCTGAGAGAAAGCCCGGCCAACTGCTTGGCTTCCAGAACTGGGGGTGCATCTCGGTGGCCCCCGAGGTGGTTCTCTGCCTGTGTCCCTGCCCTGGGCCTCCCTGGGCTACTTCCTCTGAGAGAGGAGGGAAGGCTCACCACCTGTGCCGCCAGAGGGCAGAGGGCACTGTCTGTCCATCCCCAGGGCCCTCAACAACCTCCCCCCTGCCCCCCTGCAGTGCTGCACCGGCTGCCAGCCCGCTGGTGCCCTGCGAGCTCAGGCCACACCGAGGGCCTCTCCTCCTGTCCTGTCCTGTCGCCCGAGCTGCAGGGGTCTCTGCAGGGGATGCTGCTCTGGGCGTCTGCTAGGGAGGGGTCTGCAGATCCCCGCCTCCTGGGGGCAGCCCCAAGACCAGCCAGACCCCCCTTGCCTTGGTGGGGCAGAGCCCAGGAGGACAGGGACTGCATTTGCCCCTCCCCCAAAGCCAGGCCCAGGTGGTGCCATTGGGGTTCAGGGCCCGCAGCTTTCTGTCTGGGGGGGNGGGGGGGGGGTGTGTGTCCAGAATGTCCCAGCTCAGGCTCCATGCTGGGAGCAGGGACTGTCCCCAGACCTCAGCTGCAGGCCCTGCAGGGGACATGACAGCCCCAGGGTGCATGCAGCTCGGCACCACCATTCCCCCTGCTTCTCCTGTGAGGGGGCCGGGGCCGGGGCCACACTCCCGGCAGCCACCCGGCGACTTCCTGGGATGCGGCGCTGCAGCGGCCAGGGTCCCGTGTCTGTGAGGTCCCCTGGAGAGAGGCCTGCAGACCGAGGCCTCAGCTCTGGGGATGGCACTGAGCTTTCTGGGGACGGCAGGGCAAACTCGCGAGCATAGAGACCCAGGTCCGCGGACCCCGCCCTCCTCGCCTCATCCCTGCAGGGCGTCCGCTCCCCACCCGGCTGCCCGCGGTGCGTGGCATGGACACAAGTGAAAAGAGCCCCTGCGCTCAGTTTGGGGCCAAAAGTGAAGTAAAGGGAGGTGGGGAGACGGCGCCTCACCCCCTCGGGCTTAGAATAAACCAAAGGCGTGGTGGCCACCAGGAGCCGGGCAGAGCTGGGCCTGGGAGGAGGCAGACGGAGAGGGCGCCACGGTTCCGAGAGGCCAGCGCCAGGCCTGAGATGGCAGTTTTGTTCCCATCTTTCCACTTGATCCCCAAGCACTGAGCAGCTGGGAGGTCAAGTTCATTTCAGGCTAAGCAGCTGCCCCCAGACCTGCCGCCCGTCAGCCAGGTCCTCTCGCGGCTCCTCTCGGGGCCCCCACAGGGCAAGGCTGGAGCCCCCACAACTCGTCCAGGTCACCGCGAGGTCACCGCCGAGACGCCTGCTGCCGACGGTCTTGGGGGGAGAGCGAGTCTTAGGTCCTGTTACGGGGAGGGTGTCACCTGCTACGTGGGGACACCTCAGAAAGTATAAATTCAGAACTCAGTCCTTCTTCAGGCGCCGTGTGGCCCGACCCCATCGTGGGTGACGGTCCATCTGTGGACGGACACGGGGTCACGCCCTCCTTTGGCCTGAGGCCCTGCTTCCGGCCCCGTGGGTGGACCCTCGGCGGCGGCCTGCAGGGACGGGACCCGATCTGACTCGNCTGAGGCCCTGCTTCCGGCCCCGTGGGTGGACCCTCGGTGGCAGCCTGCAGGGACGGGACCTGATCTGACTCGTCCACTCCACCTGCCCTCCCGGCTTCCCCTCCCACCCAGCGTGTCCCGTCTGAGCGACTGACGCGTGGGGTCCCTCACGGGTGCTGCAGCCCCGCCTGGGTCCGGATGCCGGGGTGCGGGCCTTCGCTCCAAGGCGCACTCGGGGGTCCCTGCCACCTCGGTCCGCTCACCCCAACCTCCTCTACCTACTTCTGGGGAAAAACAGAAACCGCCGCCGGGACCCACAGCTCCCAGGTGCCAGGTGGTGAGTGTTTGCGCTGGGCTGCGGGAGGGCGAGGGTCTGGTCCTGCCCTTCACCCCCAGGTGCCCCTCCATCTCCCCGTGCACTGGGGGCCAAGAAGGGGCCAGTGGCCCGGGTCCTGGGAAAGGAGGACACTTTCTGGTGCCATCGGGCTCGAGACCCGGCTCCCACCGGAGCGAACACCGTGCGTTTCTGTCGGGGCGGGGGGCCTGCTCTGGAAAAGACGGCATTGGGGGGCTGGGCTCTTGCACGCAATGTCCCAGCAGCCAGAGCCCTGTGGGGGTGCTCGGAGCACCGAGTCTCTGAGGCAGGGTCTCTTGTGAGAGAGGCAATAAGCAGGGGTCCCCTGGGGTCCTCGCTGCCCCCGGGGCAGAGGGTCTGCTCCTCTGAGGCCCTGATCCCCCCTCAAGGGCGTCTGCAGGTTACAGCTGTTTCGGGTCCTGGAGGACCCATCCGTCCGTCTCCAGGCCTGAGGGTCGGGTGGTGGATCTCTGCGATGGGGGGTCAGGGCCGCTCTCTGCAGACCCGAGGGCTTGGCCGGGGGCCTGGTGACTCATCCCGGGACGCTTGCCGCAGGCCCCATTTTTGGAGAAACTGGGAAACCTCTTCGTAGAAACAAACAAGCCGCTCCAGCATCTGCCCCTGACACGCACGCGGCCGCTCTTCGCTCCCCCAGCAAGTCTGCAGAGCACCGCGAGGAGCCCCGGGTGCCGGTCCACGCAGGCCCCAGGGGGTGGCGGGGGAACATGCTGTCCTGGCTGCTGGGCAGCATCGGGAGCCCGAGACTCCCTCAGCGCCCCCGCCTGCCCCAA